CCGCGTGCATGCAGGCCAGGATGACGGCGTGGTCGCGCGTGGTGGCCTTCCCCCGCGCCCGCACCTCCCCCGCTCCCGTGAGCTCCTCGGGGAAGGCCAGGGCGGCGACGTAGAAGGTCGGGTCGCGCGGCCGGGCGGGCGGGATCTGCTCGATCGTGCACAGCTGCGTGAGCAGGAGGCCGTGGAATTTGAAGAAGAGCCGAATCCGCCCCTCCACCTTTGGGTCGAAGACGCAGGGCGAGAGAAGGGCGGTCGCCGGCGAGATAAAGTGCATGCTCGATTGCACCTCCAGCAGCTGCCATTCCTCGCCCTCGGTTTCGTCCTTCTGGTGGAGTTGCCGGAGCGGCGGGGGGAAGTTCCCCGCGCGCGGGATATGGCTCATATCCAGCTCATCCGCGTTGGGGGAAAACCGCCCGGCCTTTCGCGCCGCCTCCGCGTGCTTGTGCTGCATGGAAGGCAGGGTGTAGAGATGATAGCCCAGCTCGTCAATAATCCGCTCCGCGTGCATGGCGGCCAACAATTCGGCGTTTTTGGCCTCGTTGGCGAGGCCGTGGGCCCATAACTCGTCGGACGCATTCGACCCCTCCACATCGGGGTGGCGTAGGGGGAGCAAAATACGACTGTGAAAAAGCGGCGTCGCGTCGGGATCGCCAACGCCCGCCTCCGGGTCCACCTCCGTGGTTTGAAAGACATCCTTGGCGGAGCTTATCACGCGTTCTTTTACATACCGTTTGAGAAAACTGACGACGCGGGAGCGGGAGAAGCCATCAAGGTGCTTCTCGTCCTGAAAGATCGACGGAAGGGCCGGTGAAAGCGCGGCCGCCAGGGCGGGGGGGATCGCCGCATCGTTGGAAAATTCCCCTGGGATGGGGCCTTCGTTCGCGGTTTCCGCCGCCATGGAGGGCAGAATGGAGATGTCGTCCGGTGAAATCGAAGTCCCGCTTCGCACCAAACGCGCATTGCACAACGACGCACGAACCCCCTTCCGGTGGGACGAACCCAGAGAGAAAACTTCGCTTCCACCAGACACTCTATGAAAAAACGCTCTTGACCATAGAATTGTTCTTTGCGAGAACATTCCGCCCGCCATGGAAGTGGTGTGAGGTTCCTTCAGGATTACGGACAGACCCCTTGCTGAATATTTGTTCATCCTAATGTCCCTTTAATAACACCACAATATTATACCTTCTGAGAAAAAGAGTTAATATTGACCCCGTTAAAAAAAAAACTCTTGTAAAAAAAATAGCAAGCGAAGAAGATTTAGTAAAACGTTTTTATATAAAAAGGCTAACAACGCAATAAAAATAACTTGCGTCTAACGTTAGCAATCTGATAATTCCTTATTTCCTTCAAAGGGTTACTTAGAGTAGCATAAAATTGAAGGTGAAAATGTCCACAAAAATACCTCTGGAATTGGAGGAAAATCGTTGACCATTTTCTTTTTCAAATCCTGATTCATTATTGGCGTACACGTCAAACACCCACCGAACATCTGTTATTATTAATCTTGCTCTTCAACGCAAAGATCCCCACCAGTTGCGGTCCATATCTTTTTCATGCCCGTAAAATCATTTTTTGCGCTAGGGTTAATCACCGCAAGAAACCCCTCCGTGGTTGGGGCCGTCGCTACCAACCACGGATTTGCCATCAAATTCTCGTTTAGCTCGATCACGAAACCGTTCAAACACGCCGGGATCGAATACGAGCTACCATCGGACAACATCAGAGTACACAGCTTGGTTTCTACCTGGCAGACGATTGCGTTCTTCTTCTTCTTCCCGACGACCCCGATGCTTCCGGCGGCAATATTCGAATTCCCTCTGCCGGATCCGAACACCACAGAGAGGAGGGAAAGCGTTGGGGCCGCGGTGCGAAGGGCCTGCAGGGCCGCATGGGATGGATCCACACACAAGATGCAAAGCCCATTGGAATGCTGTAGAAGACGGACGCTATTGCCTGGTACTTTCTTGCAATCCTCGAACAAATAATGGTTGTAGTAGCGCGCCGTAAAGTAGTCAAAAGAGGTCGGGGGAGGGCAGAAAACATTCGAGAGCGGGTCGGAACTGGCCAAATCCCCCGCATTGCCGTTTTTGGCTTGTGTATTAGGTTCGGTACCACATAATATCATAGTTGTGTGGGATTCCCTTTTAAAAAGCAATAGACGGAGAAAATAAGTTAGTGTAGTAGAAACACCAGATCCATGCAAGTTATTGTGTGATCTTAAATAATATTACACGTAGAAAGCTCAAAAAAGAAGCCGATCCTTTTATTGTTGTAAAGTCAGAGTATTTTTAGTTTAAACGCTAGCTTGAACAAAAGTTTTTCTTACTCCACAAAAAGGAAAACAAGGTGCATAGAACTCACTTCCGAAATATCACACATATATATATATAGATATGCAATATTTTCTTCGTTAGAATTCCTTTTTACAGCCGGTTCCTTTTGAACGCCTCTCGTTTCTTTTGAATAGCTTCCTCGTAGCTCTTACGCAGCGGCGCGTTCCGCGGATCGAGGATGTTAGCCTCGAAAATTTGATATCTAAAATTAAAGGGCACCCGTCCGCCCGACTGGTTAGATAGTTGCCGTGCAAGATGATATCGCTCTTTGTTGGACGCCCCTCGACAGCTCAGTGCTTCTTTCTGCAGCGTCGATCGCCGTCGCCGAGGCTTTCCGTTTGAATTGGCGCCTCCGCCCGTTGCCGTTAAACGACTTTTCCGCGCTTTTATCTCCTCCTCCATTAACACCCGCGCATCCGGCTCCATCACGTCAAACTGCTCAAAAATATTTCCCAGCGCATCCGCCTCTTGAATCTTTACCCCGATCGGGATCACGTCGTTCGGCGATTCGTAAAGATCCATGAGCGCGTTGTGGGGATGCTCCACCCCTTCGCCTTTGGTTTCATCAAGAGATATGGGGCTTTCGTTGGTTGGCGATGCCGCTTTAGCGGGCGCAGAACTCCCCTCCTTCGTCTGGTCGTCAGGCGCCGTCGTGGGGGAGGACAGCTTTATCGGGTCCTCCGAGGGCTCGTGAAGCATCGAAAGCCAGGGGGAATCCCACAGGTGAAGGTCGCTAAGCTCCTCCGCTCGTCCGGACTGCGCAGGGGAGGGATTTCCCTTATAACTTCTCACCCCCTCAAGCCCTTCATTTGGTAAGGAAACCGAATCATCTGGAGGGCTCCTCGCAGGCGATTGGGCCGCATCCCGCACCGTGGTTGGACCCCATTTCGGGATAAAATCCTCGAGATCGAAGTTGAAGGACGGCGTGTCGTTAACAATGCCCTGGTTCGGATCCACCACCGTCTTGGGTACCTCGGTGGAGAGCACCTCGACTTTGCGCGCGAAGAGCCTTGCGGAGACGCGTTGGAGGGTCTCCACCATTGCCCGGTCATCGGTGCAGAGAACAACCCGCACGTTTGGCGGGGCCAACGCCCCCAACATGGCCAACACCAAAATAAGATGATCATTGTCCGAGTCGGAGGGGTCGAGCCCGAGCCCCGCGAGCTCGTCCTTCGGCAGAATCCCGTGAGCCTGCAGACATTCGGTGAAGTGCAGGACGCGCACCTGGCGGGGAAATCGCCCTGAACGTGCCGTGGGGGCGGCCCCTGAGGGGCCCTGGAGGAGCGCCCGCAAGGCGCGCAATCGCTGGGAGGCGAGAAAGGGCTCCGCGTGGATCGCCTCCTGCAGGGCCATGTCGAAGGAGACCACGACGTCGCCGTTCGCGATCGACGTCCCCAACTGCGCCAAGGCGACGTAGGGGATTACAATCAGAGAGTCCGCCCCGCCCTCGCCCTCGCTGGAAGACAAGCCGAGCCTCAAAAATCCCTCGCCCGACTCGACAAAAGAGGCGTCCAAGACATACACGCAGCCCAGGCCCTCCCAACCAAAGAGACGCCGCGTGAGGCTCGCCGCATCCGTCGCGATGCCGTCCGCCGCCGGCAGGGCGTAATCGGCGAAGTGCGGGAGCGACCCGATCAGGGCGATATCTAATTTCGGCATCTCGCGCGTGAGGGCGTCGAGCGCGGCGTGGACGGCCGGGAGGCCCGTTTGCGCGCGAAAATACACCGCGGCGCCCTCGCGAAGGGCGGCGTCCAGCACGACGAGGTCCGCCGCCTCGGTGGCCGCGCCGTGGACCCCTGCCGCGAGGAGCAGCGACTGCACGAGCCCAGGCCCCCCGCCGCCCTCCATCAGCAGGCGATAAAACGACGCCAACGTCAGCCCGTTGAGGCGGTCGAAGAGGTCGATGTACTCGTACTTCCAGTAGTGCTCCACCGTCTTGGTGAGGTCAAAGTCCTCGTCGAGCCGCCCGCGCGCCGCGACGACGGCGAGCTGCTCCTGAAAAAGCTCGAGCTGGGCGTCAAAGGCCCCCGCG